TAAAAGCAACATCATCCTACTTTGAGGAAGGCAACATCAACGTACGTCAGATGAGTCAATAACAACCTGCATCAGGGTAGGCAACAACAACCAACTTTTGGGAGGTCAACAACAACCTACGTCACGGGAGTCAACAATAATATATTTTGTGGAGTGGTGACAACAACCTACTTTGGGGAAGATAACCAAAACATACTATAGAGGGGGAAACAATAGCTTACTTCAAGAATGGTAATAAGAGCTTAAGAGGGGAGACAACAACAACCTAAGATGCACGTTGATTGGGGGAGGAGTGGTGTGCTTTCCCTTCCAAAAATATCTGAAAAATTTAGATTTCATGGTTCCAACGAACGTATTGGCATGTAAGAGCATGTGTTAATGGTTCACATAGGAGTGTGTGAACGATTTGTACAGGCTCACACACCATTCATGCCGATGAGCTGATCCGCCTGCTCCACAAACCCATGATCATCGACCCAACCCGTGCCCTCCACATAACCGTCCAACCATGAACCCACTTCAGCACTTCTTTTGTCGCTCTCCCACCCGAGCGTGCCTACATACATAAGTTAGAATTGGGGGTCTATTTATAGCCTTTAGGATATAGGCATTTTAGTCTTTCGACGAAAACATTTTTCCAACCACCTGATTGGAGGACCCACATTGATCTCTCTTGATTATAAGTGTTGTTTAATAATTTGAGTTCCTAAATGATCTTAGAATTAAGTGATCTTTAGGCCTGATGGATTCCTCTCGTTGAGACGCTTGACTTAAAAATAAATATTTCAAATTTAGAGTTCATTTGACCATTTAATTAACGATACAAAGCTTTCAAATGTACTTCAATGAATTGATATAGGCTTAGCCGAACCCGAACTGACCCAACTTTTGTATCATTTGATTCGACTTGTCGAAATGGTTAGTTTGACTATAAACTTGTTGAAATCAGGTTCCTATATGATCTTGAATTCAAATTTAAAATATTTATCATTCAAAAAATGCATCGGGATACATGTTGGATGATCAGAATTTCTTTGTGACACATCAATTTTATTTTCTCTGTTCCACACCATAGTTTCATTATGAAATTCTCAACTCTGAAAATGCATAAGAAATATGTTATCTCTAGTATAAATGTATTTGAGGCAACATGTAGTCATGTAAGAATAAGGAATGTAAACACATATGGTTTCCTTTAAAAAAGGAACTAATTTTTTCGTGCTCTTGTAAACATTTTAGATTATGTGCCAATTTTTCTTTACAACTCAAAATAGTGGTGGAACCAAGGGGGGAAATGGGAAACAATCACCCCCTTAAATTTTTGGTAAAATTTTTATTATCATAGATGCACTAAAATTTTACCCCCACTTTCCAAAACTTAAATGCTTAATAATAATCTAACAACTATTATATATAATTTTATTAATATTTTATAATTATTTTAAATAATTTATCACAAAGATTGTGATTATTTCATTAAAGTTAATAGTTTTATAAATATTTTATGAAATATTATATATATATATATATATATATATACTAAACTTCAAAAAAAAATCTCTATTCAAGAAAAATTTAAAAATTCATGCGAGTTAAAATTTATAATTTAAAATATTATCTTATATTGAAATGAATCAAAATAAGAGCAAATGATAATTATTTTAATATTTATTTATAAAGATGAATTTATTAAGAACTGATTATTTGACATAATTCATGCTGAAAAAAATAAGTGCATCAAATTTAAAGAAAAAAAATTATACTTCTCTCCTATCACAATATTGATATTCATGAAATTCAAGGTCAATAATATAATGGTGCAAGTAATATATGAGGTGAATAAAATATATTGCAAGTTTTGTTCATAAAATATTATCATTTTGTATATTATATTATTCATTTAGCATATTATCAAAAAAAAAAAAATTTATTTTATCAATTTTTTACCAATTTGATGTTCATAATTAATTTTATTTATTATTCATGACTTATAATGAAAGTCACAAGTCATCTTAAATGTAATATATTTAGTACCAAAAACAAATTATCTTTTTTTAAAATTTAAGAAAATTATGATGGTATCTTTATTATAGAGGGTGAAATTATTTATAAGAAATAGTATATACATACTTTAGATATGAATGCTCTTTATTATGGAGGTCGATGATATTTTATAATAAAAAAGGATAATATTATACTATGACATCATTAGAAAGTGGATATTTTCATAGTCACTTTAAAAATACTATTTTTCTATATTAATAATAGGTTTAAAAAATGCATTATTGAATTATTGTTTCTTAATTTTGCATTGAATATTTGAGATGAATACTAATTATTCAAAATTGAATATATTTATTAACTTAAAATAAATTTTATTCTGAAGATTTCACATGTACCAAAAAACTGCCCTTAAATTTTAATTAGAAAATTTTAAAAATGAAACTCATGAAAATAAAAAATTAAGAAAAAAAATCTATATTTTTTTAAGACAATTTGTGCCAAATATTAGCTAAGATAAGAAAATAATCATAATATTATTAATCTTTTATTTAGATTAACCTTAATATCATTAGTTTTGATAATAACAGCTAAACATGCATTTTTTCAGTCATAAAAATTATTAAGATTATGAAATTAAAAAAAAAAAAACATGATTTTCTTGTAGTTCATTGATAATATATATTGAAGATAATGATGTAATGAGTTTCGATGTAAAATCAGTTATTGATGATTTAGATGTAACGAAGAAGCATTGGGCATATTTTAAGATATGTATTCATAATATTTACAATATTAAAATATTTTTTTTCTAAGTTATTTTTAGCTAATTTTTATTTTTTCTTATTTTTTATTTATTTATTTTAAAATTAAAAATATTAATTTTGATTTATTTTAGTTGATCTTATTTCACTCCACTTTAAATTCTAGTTCATCCATTGACTCAAAGGCTTTTTTTTTTTCTTTTTTTTTACATTCAATGTTAAGTATGTAGAGTTATATCATGTTGTTACACATTAAGCCCTTAATTTCTTTTCTTTTTTTTTTTTTTGCAATCTCAATACATTTTTAAAAGTTTTAAAGTCAAATTAGTAAGTGGCTTATGAGCCTCCCAACTGCTCTAAGATAAAGTATATAATGCACAACCTCTCTGATTCTTTCGTGTAAATTTAAGTTTATAATATAGTCAACACTTCTTACAAGAAGTTATCATCAAAGATGCCTTGTTCTCTCTTTGCAATTTTTTTTTTCAAACGAGTGATAATATTATTACTTAAAATTGTATTATCAATATTAATTAAGAGTATTGCATTAAAAACCTAGCTAACCAAAGATTGTTTAACTTATGCCCAACAAACTCTCATCCATAGCTATAAATTGGGCAAAAAAGTTATAACTCTTTCACTCAATTTTCAATCCTCATCAATATAATGTGCAGTGAGATACAAATAATTGACAGTTTTAATCAATATTCATGTTTCAATGGTTAAGCAAATCATTCTTCATGAATCTATAAATTTTGCTTCAAATTTGCTTTTTCATCTGAGTAGAATTAGAAAGTCAAGTGTGAGGGTCCATCAAAACATAATGTAAGACATTAGACAGTGTTGCAACATAAAGTACATATCCACCATTCCACAATATGCTTGAAGAGCATTTCATTACCATTATAGCTAAAACTTTTCTAATTTCCTCTTGGTAAATCGGCCAAGTCTTAAGGTTCTCACCAATTTTATAGCATTTATCTCCTGATTATAAATACCAGTTGGGCTATTTGATTCATTGTTTTGAGAAATTTTTATTAATAATAAATTTTAGGGCTGTAAAACACGCCTTTTTGATTTTTAAGCTTTGCACGGTTGATTGGTCATTGCAACAATGGTTGAACCACCATATTCTTATCTTCTAAGATTTTTGGGAGTCTTTGGTTTGACATTCGATGAGACAAGGAACAAAAAATAGGCTTTCGAAGAGACTTCGAAAATGGGAGTTTAACGGGCACTACTGATGTTCGTTTACTCTGCTTTTTACTCGATCCTTCGTTTGGATTATCAAATTGTTCAATTTTCTTAAGCTCACAACAATACTCAATCACTAAAAATTGAATATTTGAAATAATAAATCAAAATCTGATTTACAATTTTTATAATTGAACTTTAATCAACCAGAACAACTTCGATTTGGTTAAGTTTTTTTTTTTTTTTTAAACAATTTAATACTAACATCTAATTTGTATGATTTATATTAAAATATTTTGATATATTTTTTCATATTTAAAATAATATCAATAATATCTCTAATATGATATAAATTAAATATTATATAATAAAATATAAAATTTAAATATATAAATAATTTATTGTAGATGTCGCTATTATTAGCCAAGCTGATTCTTCATTCAGCCTAAAAATCATGCCTATTAACATGTGGCAGCTAGGGCTGTCAAAAAAGCTCGTTGTTTGCGAACAGTTCGTGTTCGGTTCGTCAATGAGTTCGTGTTCGATTCGTTCGATAAGTAAACGAGACAAACGCAAATAAATTTTTTTCGTTCGGTTAGTTGAACGAACCAAACACGAACAGTGATTTGTTCGTTCGTGTTCGAATCGTTATTGTTTGAAATATAAAATAATATAAAATAATTATATATAAAAAATTTATTATATTTTAAAACATTAAATTTTATAAATTATAAATAAGTTATATAATTAATATATAATATTATTTTTATATATTAATATTAGGGATGTCAAACTGACTCGTCGTTCGCGAACAGCTTGTGTTCGGTTCGTGTTCGGCTCGTTCGTTAAGAAACGAACACGAGCTTATTTCAAACAAACTAAATTTTAAACGAACCGAACACGAACACAAGCTTTGTTCGTTCGTGTTCAATTAGTTTACACTCCTACTGGCAGCGTTCCCACATGATTTATATGTGGGGCCCATATCAGTAAAATCAAATACAGACCATATACATAAATGATAAGAAAAAGCCACGTCAGGGAAAATATAAACTGCAGTCGATTTTTCAGGGGGAGCAGAGCCAATACAAACGGGAAGAAGAAGAACCGGAGAATGCTGCAGAATTCGCCTTCTCTTCATCTCCTCTCATCCATTAATCTTGAAAGGTAGTTATTTTTTCTCGGTTCGTGGCCGCTCGTTCAATTGCGATCCCTTTTATGCTCATCCCAGTTGTTTACAATTTGATGGGGCGAGCCTTTTCGCTTGGATTTTATCCTAGATTGCTCTTTTTGATTCGCGTTTGACAGAAATTTCGCTCTTAAAGCTGTTTGTTTCGCTGAAGTTTCTGTGATTGATTAATGGGGAGATATTTTTGTTTTGTGGATTCGCTTATCAAACCGTAGATCCTTTTGAGGACTGACTTCGGGAGTTTAGGTTTTCCTTGCTCTTAAAAGAAATTTGCCAGATTCTCCTTTGATGTATTATTTATTATTACTATTTTTATTTTCATCATAATAATAATAATTATTTTCATCTTCACTTTGCTGGGTTTGTAGAGCAGGAAATCCTGATGTATGGTTTGTTGGTTGAGCCAAATGCGCCGTCTTTTCGAAGTTGCGTGGTGGTCATCTTTAACTAATAGAAAACAGATCAAAAGCTTGAATGCTTGATATTCATTTGTGTTTAGGAAAGTAATTTTAGTTCACTTTTAATAATTTTTTTTAATACTTTAGGATAATTTCTTTGATTTTTATTTTCTATTTTTAACTAATCTTACTTGGTTTTCATAAACCTTCACCTGCAGAATGCTTTGACCTATTTCAGTTACTTAACAATTCTATATAATATGTAGAAATTATTTGTTTTTTTGAAGAATATGATAGAATCACTTCCCCCATTAGGTTTGAGGCTTTTTAATTTACATGATCCATTGCTTTTGGAATGGTTTAATAGAATATGGACATGATTTTTGTGATATGCAATGTATCCTGATTATTGGGGAATTCTTGATTTTTACATTTATCTGCAGGTATGGAGTGTGCTATTGAGGAGACAATAACATGTTGCAGTGCCTAGGAGGATTCAAGCATTTGTTTGCTGTCTTATTGAAATGCTGTGATCTTGATCTATACAAGCAGCAAAAAGGTCTTGAAGATCCGGAAATTTTAGCGAGAGAGACTGTGTGTATGTTGCTTATGCATTCCAATTTACTTTGGAGATTATGAAAACAAGATGATAGAGATAGAAATATATTCTCGTGTTCTTGTTAGTCTACATACTAATTTACAATAAGCGACCTGTAAGCTATGCATGTGATATTAATTTTTCTTATTGTACTTGCAGTCAGTGTGAGTGAGATTGAAGCCCTATATGAGCTATTTAAGAAAATCAGCAGTGCTGTGATTGATGACGGGTTGATAAACAAGGTAAAGATTATATTTATTATCCTTCTTGTTCTGGTAAAATGCTGCTATGAAGTTATTAATTTCTTATGTGTTTGCAATGGATTTAATATGAGAAAAAAAGATGAAATTTGAGAGGGAGATGGAGAGGGAGAGGAGCGGAGAGGAGGAGGAGGAGGGGGTGGGGTGTTGCGCCGCGGGGGAGGGATCCTGCAGTCAATTCTTGTTGGTAGGGTTGTAGGAACTCCACTTCAAGAGAAACTTATAGGAAATTTTGGAGGCTCAATAACACTTTCATATGGTAATAGATCCTTACTATAAAAAATTTAGGCCAGCATTCATGTTGAAAGGAAAGGCAATGTCAAGCTTGGTTGGTTTTAGCTTAGTAAAAATACAATATTGATTGATGCTCTATTAGATAATCTATTGCAAAGAGATTGTTGAAATCATAATTGTTTGGTATAAACTAAAATTTAATTTTTCTTAAATTAGAATGTGCATATGTTGCAATTATAAAATGTTTTTCATTCATGACATTAATTTTGTTGAGTTATCAAATAACTCATGAAAATGAACTACAAGTAATTCAACACAATTAATGTTTGATGCATGCAACATGGTTAATGAAGTAAGGTTGATAAGCTTTTTAAGGGAGCTTTTATGTTAGCTTCATTAAGCCAAATGTTAATGATTGTTATAAACACTTAGGTCCAAGGGACCTTTTAAGTAATAATAACTAGCCCTCTTGAAAAAAGTATATACAGATGTGATGTACTTCCTTAAATTATAATAGACCAAAGTGAATTGTTAAATAATGTTCTCTATCCATCTTTGCTATTAAAGCAACTTTGAACCATGTTTATTCAACCAAAAAAAAAAGTCTCCAATAAAATGTCAATAAATATGCAGTTTTGATCCCACATTCCTTGAATACTTGGTTTTATCAATTGATAAATTTAGCAACATAGAACCATAATAAAGAACAATAACCTGATTATCATGCAAATAAGGATTTGTTTATGCATTTGGGTAGAATGTTGTTGATGAAGTATGAAGAAATAGTGTTAGGGGGGACGTGAAGCAATTGTTCGAGAGAGCGATGGATGATAAAGAATGGAGGGAATAAATAGAGGAAAGTAGTTGCAAAAAGCTATAAGGGAAAAATGGTATTAGGGGCCCTAAAGAAAATATGTTGAAAAAGAAGTGAAAATGAGCTGGGCTCTACTTGGGCTTTAGGAGAGTGTGAGGTGGCTATGATAGAAAGGAGATGAGAAATAGGTGTGTGGAGAGGGGCTTATTAAACAACAGCTCACAGAGAGAACAAAACAACATGAATATTTTAGGCTAGCTATAAAAAATTCATCCAATATTCATTTCACCTCTAATGATAAGCCATAAACTTTTGTTTATAGGAAAAATACTCATAAGGACAATATTTATTAAAAAAACCTAAAAGTGATAATCTCATGATAATTTAAAATAAAAATATTTCATAATTCATTAACTTATAAAGGAATAAAACGAGAACTACTCTATTTGTCAATCGTGAACATATGTTTTCATTGGACAATCAACATCTATTCCTTTGAAGCACAAAAAACTCTGCTAGATGGTTATGCTGAAGGTGCACAACAAACAGACTCTGTGAGAAGCACTATAGTTCATCACTCCTATAAATCATCTTCACAGATGATGTTTTGATGAATGAAATAAATTTTCTTTTTCGTGGACTTAATTCAACATCATTTGATGGAGTATGCTTAACATATGATTTAGTTGAACTGGGTGGAGAACTTGGATTAATCTTGTTGCTAGGGATGTGGAAACTCTGCCTGAAGAGAAGTTTATAGGAAAATTTGAAGGCTCAGAAACACCTTTACATGGCAAATAGATTCTTAATATAAAAATAAAAACCGACATTCATGCTGAAAGAAAATGCAGGTGCTAGCGGAGTTTTTGAGCCGTAATAAACCAATGTCATGTTTAAAATTATTATCTAGATTTGAACACTCCATAAAGTAAAAATTAGACAATGATTTGATCAAACTTCATTACCTACCCATAAGTGATCAACTAGCATATTTCATGACTTAAGGGACTGCCTACTTCAAAGATTTTAATTAACTAGGTGGAAGTTGGGAATGTTAAACACATTTTCACTAATTTGTGGGGGAGTGTTGGAAATTTTGTTAAAAAACTTTCCCTTCAAGTTTGGATTGCATATTTTTGTATTAGTTCTTTCTTTTTGTAGGAATCTCTAAATCCGAAATATTCAAAGGTGTACTAAGTGATTGCTGGATCAAATCTTAGTATAGCTTATTTCTATGTATAAATATGCAATGTTTTTGCTACGGTGGAGCAACAAAAACCTGAATCAGTTTTTTCTACAATTTTAAGCTGCTGGGTTTTGCGTTTATTATTTCTAACTTTTCTTTTGCTTTCTGTAGGAAGAGTTCCAGTTGGCACTTTTTAAGACTAACAAGAAGGAGAGCTTGTTTGCGGATCGGGTACTTTCAATATCATTGTGTTTTGTAACGATAACAGATGTGGTGGGCTTAATAAAAATTCCAGGAGTTGCATTGCTGAAAGCTTTATTTATAAAGAAACATTTTCTTTTTCAAAAATATAACTGCGTGAATGCTTTTGTGCTTCAATGTTTTTGTGTTAGATGTTACTCTCCTGACCAAGTAGGGATCTTAATTCATCCATTTTTTTAGCGCCTTTATCATTATTTTGACTGATGATGAAGTGTAGGGTAAAGATTATCTATCAAAATTCATCATTAAGACCCTGCCTTTTTTTCACGGGCAATGCAATTTGTTTGTGTTTTTGTCAAAATGATGCCATAAGCTTGTCAAGCTACGCTAATTAATGTTTTCTATTTTATACTTTTTCCATTAGATGTATATATTTTACCAAGCTGTTCTAACTTTTTGAATTAGTTTTACTCCCTCTATAACCGATACGGTAATAAATCAGTGACTGTATATACGCATATTCTGTTGCTCTGAACATTAATCGGTAAAGATGAATGATTTGTAGAACTGTTGAATTGATATGCATCCCTAAATGATCGATTTGTAGAAATCATGCCAAGCATAAAATTGTTATTGATAGTTTGTATTTTATAAGCAAACTTGTGAAACTACGGCAAAGCAGATAATGTTATTGATTATAGTCCCATCGCCAATCTTTCACTTCATGTCAACCCGTATGCCAGCCAATTCTCGGGCAGCATTTTTTTTCCCAGTGATTTTATCTGAAAGCTGTAGGGGTCTTTCCGAAGTTTTGTCGTAAATCAACCTTAGGCTGATGTTTTAAATATAATGAGAGGACTACTTTGGCTTTTAGTGATTACTGGAATCTCATTTATTTAGAATTCTGAAGTTAATCCCGCTTGCAGTACGTCTAAATAGACAGTCTTTTATACTTACAGTAGGGAAAAGTTTTTTTTTTTTTCCTTGAAAGGTTTTTTTTTTTTTCCTTTTTTTTTTTTTGTGATTTGGCTCGATAACTGTGAACACCATGTGGAAATTTTCAGGGGAATTTTTTGTAAAAAAAAATATATTTTTTTCTTATATGACACGAATGATGACGATGAGGATTGTTTAGAACAGCTTTGAGTTTCACTGTATGGTGAATCGGTTTGGTATCATGCAACCAGTAAAGCAGAATTTTGCAGTTGAGAGGTAGGAAAGCTGTCTACACATGCCTTTATTGGGGACTGCACCTACTTAGTTGAAAAACAACTCCAAATAAAGCCAAATCTGATGACTTGAGATATTTATGATAGATGAAACGCAACATATTGATGCTTTCTTCATATTTGTATTCACTTAGAACATACATGTTTACAGGTTTCAGCTTCAAATTTTCAGGTGTTTGACTTGTTCGATACAAAGCACAATGGCATTCTAGGATTTGAAGAATTTGCTCGTGCTCTCTCTGTTTTCCATCCTAATGCTCCTATAGATGATAAGATTGAATGTGAGTTTAATAATATTATTTCGAACATGTTAATGTCATCTGATTTTTCAGTTCTAGTTTCTTATTGATTGTCCTCACATATTTATCCATCTATGATTTTTTTACAAATTTTGTGAGCTTGTTCCAGATTTGATGGACTTTGTATTTCTACTATTCGTTTTTTTTTTCTCTATATGTATAATATGTGCTCACTTTAGTGAGAATTTCTTTTTCTATGTTCTACATTTTATTTTAACATTTTTAAATTAAAAAAAAATCAATTTGTAATTAGTTATTCTTATCATAGGACTATATCTTGTTTCAAAACTCATTAATTTTTGTTCAATGGTATGGCGTAATTGGTCGTGCCTTAAAACATTATACTCTTCCCCTATTATATGCAAAGGGTTTTGCAAGACATAAAACACCAAAATATTATCCTCCTTGTAACATGATGTTATAGTAGGGTTAATTTGAAACTCTTGTTTTCATAGTTTCCTTCTTCCTCTAAAATCCTTGTCCTTTTCTTATTCAAAAACTACAATCCTCTCCTCGCTTGCTCATAGCTCATGCTCATATCACTATGGGTTCCGAAAATTTTAATGCCCCGACCTCCCACAAAAAGAAAGAAAAAAAATGAAATGAGGATGAGGAATTTTACTATAAGATTCTGGGTTCAGAAGGTAGTGAGCTAGTACATTAGATACTAACCCAAGAGTTCACCCTCATTTTGTGATGACTTTAAGACTGGGATTCGAGGTTTCCCATTGGCGCAAGCTCTTTTAGTTAAATACCCTAACTAATAATGGGAGAGCACTTTGATTAAGGTTGGTCATTAGACACCAAGTATTCAGACTTAGCATATGATAACATCAACTTTAGGATTTTTAAATTATGAAATTGTGAGTTGAAGAGCTGATGGTGGGGAAAATAATGACTAATCGGATCAACATCCTATAGTTACATCATTCCAAGTTATCCTGGTCCATAGCATACTTAGTATGATGAGGTAGTCTACCTAACCTAATAAAAAAATCCTTATAAGCAGTCATGTGTTGCTTAGTCCAAGAGAATTTTGTAGACATGGGGTGATTGTTTATCTAAAAGGATTAATCTAAGTCAGATTTTAACTTACAGAAAGCTTCTTGCCCTATCAGGTATACCTTATGATTCACTAATCAAAGGGACAGAACTACTTAGAAACATACAAGCTACAATCATGACCGTAATATAATAGTGTCATTTGATAGCAAACCACCCTATTAGGGAGCTCTTAATATAACCGCTTCTTTGTGGTGTAATTTGACATCAAAATCATATAGATTGAGGATTCATATCATGTGTTTTCTGGCATAGGATTGTTTTGAGTATGAATTTAGTATTATAATTGATATGACATTTATTTTGTGTGCTTAAGTCGACATTAGATTTGTTATCCTCGACAATTAATTGCGGATAACAAATGTGATTTTTTGTTTAAACTTTTAGTGATAGATTTTTATTTAAATGTTTTTTAAATTTTATGAATTGAAATTTTGATTTTTATAGTAAGTCCCCTCCAATGTGCAATGAATATGTCCATCATCGGGAGATTTAAATATGATGAATCTTATCGACTTTGCCTTGCTTAAAGAGGATTGAGTTCAAAAATTATAATAATTAAATGTTAAATATATTTTGAAATTTAATTTTTAAAGTATATCTCCCCAGTTGAAATATTCTATCAAATGGATCATCATCATAGGAATTAATTGAAATATTTACTTTATAATTTGATTATATTTAATAAGTTGAGCATTTAGAAAATTGTTAGTTCTATAAACTTCAATTCTATTAGGATAGGAGGATCAAACTGGTTTAATGAGGCTCAATCTTATCAGCTCCAGTCCCTATATAGACGAAGATCAGACTGTGTAAAACTTAAGATTTTACCTCATAGGCAAGATAGCCCACTCCAAAACGTGTGAAAATTGGCAACTTAAATTTGAATTTTGAAAAGAGATTTTGTAAGATCATGATAGTCACACGTTTCTCGTGGTAAACTAAATTTTAGCTTTGAACCATGTCAAAGCTCATGCCGGAATTTAGACTAATTAAATTGGAGTTTTGTACATTTTTAGAAGCAAATAAAATTTTGAGTTTAGTGAATTAAGCTAAGCAACGGGGCACATATTATAATTTAGGCTTATTAATTTGAATCGAATTTTAGGAGATTTTATTATTGTTTGCACATAACTGTTATCATTGAAATTTGTGCAAATATTTTATTTTCATCCTTCAACTTCGACTTCTATCCACTAGTACTTATGTTACAGATCTAGTGGTGATCAGGGAAAATATAATCTTGATTGTGGATTCTAAACATTGTATTTTACTCACATTTAGATTTCATTTGAGTGCTCAGACCCTTCTATAATTGTAATACATGATTCTAATAACTTTGATTAATTGATACAATGTGTCATTTGCATTTATAGGCGAGCTAGTGTGTTCATCATAGGTTTAAGTCGAGCTTTTTGACGAGTCGTTGAGTATTGTAATTTAAAAGCTTAATTTTTATTACATTTTAGCCCAAATGAGTTCAGTTTCATTATTCGGTTTAAGCTGTATTTAGACAAAAATCTGACAGTATTTTAGCAACCTCCCGATATCGTCTCTTTTTGGGTGCCTGCATTGGGGAGCTGAGGCATTCTCATCACTCTTAAAAAAAAGTGCATAGTCGGTGTCTTTTACATTGCGGCGTGAGGAACATTGCGGCATGAGGCCTTCAAAACTCACAATGCTTAAAAAAGTATGCATAAGGAAACACAGGCACACACTGCCTTCTCGTTACGTTGCCACGACGCAACAAATCTTTAACTCATCACGCCCTTGAGGCTTGAGATACCTTGAAATAGATATGCACAACATAAAGAATTTCCCCGCGGACAACGACACAAGTATTTATATTTTGTATCAGGACTAAGTCGCCCTTTTCATATTATACATAATGTGCAAAGAGGGCCGTCAGCAACTATTGTAATGAAGCTAAAATTAAATGAGATTGGATGCTCCTTTTATTTCCCCAAACAGAATAGGAACTAGGGTGAGGATGGGAAAGATGGCCTGGAGAGACAGAGGAAGAGAGGGACTCTTCTCTGACAGAGCTATTAAGCGAGGCAGTGGCTGGTGCTTGCGTCAATTCAAACAAAGAATATTTAGCAAAGAGGTTGCTGCAGGAGAGCATATGGATTACAACAGGTGAAAAAGAAAGGAGTGGGAACAGAAGGTTTGGCTATTTGTGATGTGAGAGTGACGGCTGCTAGTATTGTGAGCTGGCTGCTTTGTCCAATAGGTAACCAGCGAAGGAACTGAGGAAGAACGGGCTATTAAAGTGGTTGCAGTGTGTGAATCAAGGTGATATGCGTGAAGGAGGCAACTAGAGGGGCTTCAGGATGGGGATGTCACACATGAATCGTGGGAAGGAGCAGGAAATGGGGTTCAGGCTGGTATTTGTCTTTTTGCTGTGCTCGAGCAGGAGAAAAACTAAGCAATGGGTGGTTATTGGAGTTGTACGAAACAATGAGAGGGGCTGCAAGATATGCAGCAGGGAGGAGTTGGAATCGGAGGGGGATTTCACATGAGGTGTTGGGAACGGATGGGAGAAAGTCTGTGTCTGGGGAGCTGGGCTAGCAGGAACTGGGGAAGGAGAGATGGGCTTTGGAATTTGAGGCGCGCAAGAGGAGCAAAGAGTGAAGTTGGGGGCTGCGGCTTTGTTCCGGTGAGAGAGCAGTGAGGCCAAGAGAGCTGGGGGGACATCGTGTGTGAGAAAGAAGGGAGCAGAGAGGAAAACGTGAGGGGAAGGAGAAGATGAGTGAGAGTGAGGCGGCTTTGATAGGATGGGAAGTAATTTGGTTTTCTTTTTTTAATAAATATTGCATATAGTATTAGTATTAATTTACATCTCATTCATGCACATTCTTATTTTCAATGCCGCAATTTGCATGTAGCCTCAAACCTTGTACGAGTGTTTTACATGCAGGACCCAAGTAATATGGGTATCATTTGTGGGCAAGACGCTCTGCGCTGTCTGTTTTGTGATCGGATGTTGCTTGGGCAAATTTTGTTGTCGATAGATCACCTCGTATCTGATTTACGTGAGGTCACATTTGATTCCCATTGTTTTCATTTTGTTTGCTTCTTTCAATCATAGAATACCCTTACGTAATCTCAATGTTCCGGATGCAATGGAGTGGTTCATTTTGCAATCAGGTGACATTTCGGGTGGTTTCAAGCATGACTAAGGCATTCTAGGATGGATTGCATGATGTCACATACATGGTTCACTGCCATTGTCATGTTTGATCGACTTATGTTGTGGAGTATAAGTGAGGATCAACTTTCACTCGTGCTTATATCTGTTTTTATCCTTGCTATGCATGCTTATGAATGCACTAGTGCTCATGCCCTTACTCCTAGCTTATGCTTATGCTTGTGTGTGCTTGCCTGCTCGATTACTCACCTAAAGCTCTGCCTATTACACTTGATCTCCTGCTAGCTCGAATCCACTAGATCATCTATTGAAGTTATTGCACTTACCCATCTTTGCCCTAGATCCACGAATGCTTAAATTCTTTCTTATTTCCTTCTTGGCAGTGTTAGCCGATTGCTTCCTATGCTGCTCTTCTGGAGAAGAAACGACATTCACTATTTGTAATTTATCCAATTCAATGGTATCAACTATCTTCTAAATTTACCAAATTCAATGGTATCAACCATCTTCCATGGGCTTGAACTTATTAATTCCTAATGAGGTCTCATGAAAAACATTCATCTATTTCTTCTTATAGAATGGACGGACATTGCCTGCATCAAACATTCATTTATAGTGTATTTATCACTGTGTTCCAGGAAATTGTCAGAGGGATGTGAGACTTTCTCTGCTCCACTAACTTTCAAGATGACAACATCTCTAGGAATATACACTATATACCCAAGATCTTTCTCTTAGCAAATGAATCTCAAGATCTTTCTCTTAACAA